AAGGAGGGAGTAAACTAATCCGAATCTACTCTCGGAATAAAAGTTAATCCTTGGCAGTACCTAGTTTAACGACTGAGTAAGCATTGACTATTCGCGTCAATGTTAGTCGTAAACATTTGTAGTATTGACATTTTGTAAAACTTTACGTTTACGCGCGTTGTTACCCGTGTTAAATTCATAAAGTTATAAGCACTAGCCGCTCAAGCGTCCAGTCCTCGCGACTGATTTACACTTGTACGTCCGGATACGCGCGGCCCTAATTCGGCTGCTACTGCGCTTGCATGTTGTATAATAAAACCCACATAGCTACTTAACTATAATAGATAGAGTAGAGACAAAAACTATTAAAAATTGACAGAAGAATGCGAATTATACCTATGTATGGTTTAAAACCCAAAAATGTTATATAAGATAGGTATTAAAAATAGTTGTGAACATTGAATTTGGAGAAAAATAAACGTATAAATTTTATTAATTTACACCTCAACGAAGAAATATTGTATTTTTACCCATAAAATAAAGTCACAACAAACTAGACGTATTTTCCTTTTTTATGATGCATATATGTTAATGTTTAATTAGCGTTGTGTAATTAAATAAATCGAAACAAAACACCTACTCGTAATTTTACCGCGATGCCTCGAGCGCTTTGGACTCGCTCACTAAGCAAGATGGTGGCCTATTTAAGGTCTCATACACACTTTGTAATTTACGCAACTTAAAAATAGTTAGTTACGAGATTTTTTTTAAGTTGGGGCTTTAAATTAAACATCAATAATAAAATAAATGTACAGTTTATTTAAATAAAAAATATTTTATAAATAATAGTGTTTTATTTAAAACTAAGAATTACAAAAAAAAACTAAATATTTACAAAAAAAGGACTAAATGAAAATTAAAATAAATAAATAAAAATTAATAAATTATATGTGATACTGCATTAAGCAAACATCAATACATAAGTTTTGTTACATTCCAGGCACTTCCAAATTGTTCTGGCTGTAACTTTTCGCTGGGCGCACAACCAACAGCGACTTTGCTTAAAGCCGGTCTTGACTGGGAAATGTCGTGCTGATTTTAGGTCTGCTGGTCGTAGTTGTCATTGGCCTTTTCGTCAGTCCAGTTCTTGAATTTATAAGTCGTGATTCTGTCGTGAGGTCAATAAGTCGGTGTAATTTTAGTAAGTTTTCTGCCAAGGTTGCCCTGAATTGTCTATGTAGTATATTTGGATTGGCCGTTTTAAATATAATGAAACAGTTAATAATGGCATGGGGACGACGAAACACCTTTTTGTACCAAATTTATTTCGTGTACGTTCCATGGGCTGAGCAGACGAGAACTGGTCCTTCCTGTCCACTCCTCCCATGGACTTGTAATCCAAAACAACGCTTGGCTTGTATGTCAGTCGGTCATATTTTTGTCGCGTACCAATCCGGAGGCAATGGTACGTCGAAAGCATGCTAACTAGGTTAGCATCTCGCCATACGAATACTGACAAATCGGAACAGTAGCTCGCCAATACTTCTTCTTGTCTTAGTTCCGTCTTTGTTATTGTTTCAAAGCAGTCTGTTTGTTGTCGTTTCAGACACCGCGCTAATAACGGGCTATTGTAAAAATTGTCCATTATTAAATATTTTGTCACCCGTGAGGACTAAGACAGAATGCCTCCTTTCTAGTAAAAAGGGTCTCCGGTTCTCTACACTCACCATATGAGACACAGCAGCATTAAGCTTCTATTTTACTTAAGTATTCTGTGAGAGCATGTACCTTCCCCGGTCGAGCCGATCTATTCGTGCTACAACTGTACCACTAATATAACTGCAGAATGGCTCTACCACGTATATTTTTTTTTATATAAAGTGTGAAAAACAAAATATACGAAAGTAGTTTTTATAAATTACAAAAAAATCTAAAATACCTCCTAACTTGAGATGGTCCACTCCCACCTTCAGTACGAATTTGTTGGCTTCTATGACTTCCAAGAGCCAAGTTAGTTTCTGTTGGTGATCTAAAATTGTTGTATGTATTAATTTAAACCAGTAATATCATCAAGGAAAAAAACAATAATAATGTGTTAAAGAAACATTAAAAATTACGATCATTTTAAATTATTAAGAAATAAAACTCAAAACCAGCACCACCCAAGACTAAGACCGTAAAAAATAACAAAGCAAAACATCTGGCAAACATATTTTGCTGTTTGTACCGACCCTTATTTATAACTATTGTCGTTACGTCCGTGGATATAAAACTAGCCACAACAAAAAACCTGAGTAACGCACTAACATTTTTAACGAATCTTCAATGAATATAGTTTATTTCTGTTTGTAAAGTTCATTATTATGTTTACTACGAACTAACACTCGTTTGCTTATATATAATTATACTGAAAAACAAAGCAAACAAAAATAAACTTGGGCCGACAACTTGAGAGCGGCCATTTATTTCGAAACAGCTATACTTTAAATTTAAAATAAGACGCGATTTTACACTAAGAACTATGATATGTATACGTAATTATAAAGCATAAGTCATCTAGATTACTGTGACGTATAATATTCTAAGTAATATTAAATAAAACTAAAGTACTTACGACATAATCGTTGAAACTCCACAAGCACTTGTTCACAAAACACCGAGAGTGTTGATAAATAATTACGGTTCATTCGTTAAGGCTTGTTACACTGCCATCTCGTTTGTAATATTGTAATAAAAGTAGTTTGTCAGCTATCGATTCCAAAAAACAAAACTTACAAAAATTACCGTAAATTACCCTAGATGTCAGTTTTATAAAACTTGACGCTATGGCTACTTCAGTATCCGGGACGTACAACGCTACTTTTGTTTTGGCTAGCGTAGTAGCCATGGACGTTTGAGCGGCTAGTAACAAAAACAGCATATGGATTAAAATTCCAGGAAGTGATGTGGAGGAGAACAAAGTAATTGCAGGGTTTTATTCATTATGTGGATTTAGACAAGTGATTGGGGCTATTGATTGCCACATATTCTAATCTCGAAAGTCGCTGGAAACATCGGACAATACTATATAAACAGGAAAGGATACAGTTCAATAAATGTACAAGTAAGTTCTATAGCACCTAGCTAGCCCATCTTTGCCATATAGGTACTTAGTTATTTTCATAGATTCAATACAATCACCTCAATCTATTATTTCATATTAAAGAAGTTATGAGTGCTTTATTCCAGGTTGTGTCAATGTTCATTGGCGAGGCAGTACACATGACTCAAGAATATTTAATGAAAGTCGCATTAAAACAAACGTTTCAGCAGTCAAAATTTAAAGGCAGACTTCTCGGAGATTCTGGTTATGCTTGTACTCCTTATTTATTCATTCCTATTATATTATAATATTATATATTAACTCCATTCAGTCCTAATAAACTGTGGCGAAACGCCAAGCCGCCAAAGCATAAAAAGAGTGTATTAGTATTAGTTTTTGGACTTAGGGCATTTTGTCTATGCTTTCTCTCTATTAATCAGTAACATGGGCACATAGAGATAATAAGGATAATAATACTATGATGCTTACCCAGTAACCACGCTAAGTACGCGGTTAAAAAATATAGGATTTTACTTAGGTCTAAGTTTTTAAGCAATCCTGTTATTACGCACTATCTTTTATACTTGTCACTTTGATGGTAGCATTATCAATATATAGTTCATCACTATTAATGCCGTTTAAATGAATACCCCGGAACTACAACATGATACCAGCATAACGCTATAAATTGGTGACCCACGACGTTCGATCAAGGATTTTGGATAAATTCCTTTTCCTACACGACGAACCTGACTGCAGATGCTATAGGCTACTCAAGAAGATCCTACACAGTGCATGACATCTGTTGCTACAGTCATATCCAGGTGATCTGGAAAGAGTACTGCGAATGGAGATATTTTAGTGAATATGTGTTAGTAGTGAAAACAGTTGGTGTTGTGTGTTTTACGCATTTTAATAGTGATTGACAATTTATCAAATAGTGCCTTAACATACGCTGCCCCTACATGTGTTTGTGTGCTGTCAGGAAGAACCCAGGTTATGGTGTAAAACTTTAATTTTACTTATAATCAACATAACTATTGACTAAGTTTCTACTTACATCATTTTATGGTCTTAGTAACTCAAAATTTACAAGCATAATTTAATTAATTGATTTAAGCTCATTCAACTTAAAGTAATAATAAAATTTTTATAAAGGCTATTTAATAATGACTTAGATTATACATGCTTTCTTTACCAAATAAATGACTTAACAAGTTTTTTAACTCATAATTTAACTATTTACTGACAAGTCAAGTAATTAGGATATTATAAAACTTTAACTAAAATTATCTGCATATTGTGTTGATATGTTTTAACATTATTTTGTACATGTTTTAAAGTATATTGTGTTCTGTGTATGTTTTGACTAAAGTGATTCAATGTAAACACATTATCATAGTACATAGTGTATTCCATTTAATTATAAGTCTCTTGCATTTAGAATTTAAGAAATATTTTAATAGGATATCAATATTAATATTAAATTTGATTTTATAATAAGTATTCTGTTACCATGGAGAATACAGTTGATAACATAGATAATTCATCTATTAGCCAAGAAAATATTGTAGTAAACAGAGTAATTATTCGTGCTCCTCCTTTCTTTCCTGACCGTCCCGCATTATGGTTTGCTGGTCTCGAGGCCCAGTTCCATATAAATGGTGTTACGCAAGAAACCACTAGATACTTTTATGCTATATCCCAACTAGACACCAAGTGGGCAGTAGAAGTGGAAGACATCATAACTGATCCACCAAAGACACAGCCATATTCAACATTAAAAAACGCACTAATTACACGATTTTCAGAGTCCTATGATGAAAAGGTTAGAAGATTGTTAGAAAGAGAGGAGGACAGGAAGCCATCATCCTTCCTTCGGCATCTTAAAACACTTGCGGGCTCATCATTTCCAGACCAACTGCTGAAATTTATATGGATGAGCAGGCTGCCTCATCAAGTGCAGGGCATTTTAGTTGCTCAAAAACAAGCTTCTCTGGAAGATCTTGGGGATTTAGCTGACACACTTCATGAAATTAATCCCCAATTAACATCAGCATACAAGGTCAGTGCTATCGATCAATCTCTTGGCACAGCTTTATCTGTTCCTTCGACATCTAATGAAATTAAGATGCTCCACAAGAAGGTAGACGAATTAACCCGCATCGTCGCTAGTCTCACAGCAAGCACGGGTAAAAATAAACGTTGCCAGAGCCGCAGCAGACGCCGTTCACAGTCCAGAACGAGAGACAAGCATCTCTGTTGGTACCATAATAGATTTTTTATCCAAAGCCCACAGATGTATACAGCCATGTTCCTGGCAAGCACCAAACTGTCCCAATCAGGGAAACTCCAGCAGCAATCAGTAAATGCGGCGCATACTGATTGCCCCGTAAAAGGTCGCCGTCTTTTCGTTAAAGACCGCTGCACCCAGCGTTGATTCCTGATTGACGCAGGTTCAGACTTATGTTGCATACCTCGTCGACATGTGCAAGGTCCGAAACAGCCGCAACCATATGAACTAATTGCAGCAAACGACACCAATATAAAAACTTATGGCCTAGTACAACTAAGCTTAGATTTAGGTCTAAGAAGAGATTTTAAATGGAGTTTTGCTATTGCAGATGTCGCTACTGGTATCATCAGATCTGACTTTCTGGCATATTACCATTTATTGCCAGACTGCTCAGAAGGTAAACTACGGGACGGAAAGGCAGGACTGTCTGCTCCCGCTGTTATTTCGAGTCATGACCAACCAAGTGTTAAAGTGGTCTCGCTTTCTGACTCGCCGTTTGCCAATGTTTTAGCAGAATTTCCCGGCATCTGTAGACTTCCAGGAGCACCTCGGAATCTGAAGCATTCTACAATGCACTATATTAATACCACTGGTGGTCCACCGGTTACTGGTCGCGCACCTCGTCTGGCACATCAAAAACTTCTTGCTGCGAAAAAAGAATTTGAAGAGATGGTTCGTGTAGGAACAGCAAGACCATCCAGCAGCTCATAGGCGTCACCACTACACTTAGCACTGAAAAAGGATTCCACATGGTGTCCTTGTGAGACTACCGTGCTCTGAATGCCAGGACAATTCCAGATCGTTATCCCGTTCGTCATTTAGGGGATTTTTGCCACAACTTAGCAGGATCTAACATTTTTAGCACCATCGATCTGGTAAAGGCATATCAACAGATACCTGTCAATACTACCGATGTGTGCAAAACCGCTATAATAACTCCATTCGGCCTATATGAATTCCCTTACATGACCTTTGGACTTCGGAACGCTGGACAGACATCTCAAAAGTTTATTGACGAAGTGTCCTCATTTCTGTTTTGATACTCAAGAGACCGAGATCAGCATAAGCAGCATTTAAGGGCATTGTTCCAAAGACTGCACGAATACGGCGTCATTATCAATCCAAGCAAGTGCATCTTCGGCGCAGAGGAAGTTACCTTTGTGGGCTATAAGATCAGCGCAACAGGTACACGCCCACCTGAAGATAGAATCTGTGCCTTAGTGGAATACCCACCTCCTAAAACAGTGCAAGGTATGCGAAGATTCTTGGGGATGATAAACTACTACCGACGTTTTCTCCCTGACGCAGCCAAACACCAAGCACCGCTTATCGATGCCGTGACCTCTACAAACAGCAAAGGTGCAAAACCATTCCCATGGACATCTAAGCTGGAGGAAAGTTTTGAAGACTACAAAAGGAGCCTGTCCCAAGCAACTGTCCTAGTACACCCAGATTGCAACGCAGAGTTAGGTCTCTTCACAGATGCCTCAAATACCCATATAGGTGCATGTCTTCAGCAGAAAAGAGGAGACGATTGGCATCCGCTCGCTTATTTTAGCAAGAAATTACCTGCTAAACAATCTCAATGGCCCGTGTGTTACCGTGAACTCCTTGCTGTGTACGAGAGTGTGCAACATTTCAGGTATATATTAGAAGTCCAACATGCGACGATATATACCGACCATAAACCCTTGGTGTACGCCTTCATTCAGCGCCGAGAGAAATTACCTCCCACACAGCTTAATCAGTTGTCTTTTATAAGTCAATTTTCGACTGATATCAGACATATCAAGGGAGATAACAACATCGTGGCAGACACAATGTCTCGAATCGAGTCGATATCCCTTGAAGAGGACTATATCGCCCTATCGACTTCTCAAGAAATGGGATTCAGAATTGAAAGAACATGAGAGGAGTTCATCACTGATACTAGAAAAAGTCACCATCCCTGGCACTTCAGTAACAGTCATATGTGACACCTCGACTGGCCGACCAAGACCATTTTTCACACATCCTTTTCGTCGTGCTGCTTTTAATAAATTGGACGACCTAAGCCACGCTGGCGTTCGAGCTACAGTTAAATTAGTGTCGGGGCGCTGTGTTTGGCCAGATATGAATGATTGCCGCGAGTAAGCTCGCTCATGTCTAAACTGCCAACTAGGGCATGCAATTCGGATATCCGGATATCCAAATTATTCGGATATTCGCCTCGTTTATTATTCGAATAGTATATTTATAATTATTCGGTTTTTACGAATATTTCGAATACTATCTTATTTTGATTTGTTTAAAATATCCGAACGTAAACCTACTAAGTTACGTGAAAAACATGCGTGGTTGTGATTGTGGGTGATCATTCATCACGTAGCCAAAGCCGAAAATATGAAAAAAAAACTACTTAGCATGTATGCATAGTGCTAACGGTTTTACATTTCGTATCTTTGCGATATTGTTGTGAGTTGTGACGAATTTCAACAACAAATAATAGTATTTGGTTTGATCGAAATACCCAAGTTAAACTTAGATGATAGGTAGGTAATCTACATTAACAATTACATTGCGCCGCTTTTTATTATTGATATTCCAATTGGACGATGCTTAATCTACCTCTAATTTATAGGTTATGTTATGCTTGTGTAGCAGTTTATTTGTTTTGCAATTCCTATTGGCACACTTTTGTTTTAAATACTTACTTTATAAAATGCTTTTTTCTATCATATTTTTTTAACGATAGATAAACATAATGCAAGCTTTACTAAGCACGTGAAATAAACGGCTGTTAATTTGGAATGTGCTGTTTTTGTGATTTACCATTTTTGATCTCGTTTTGGTGTTTTTATACATATCAATAACATAAACCAAAAACAAATTCTAAATTGGTTCTAAATTCTAAAGCAGTTCCAAATATTTATATATCTCTGAAGAAACTTATTAACAAATATATTTGGTGTTGTGTTTTCTCTCTCCACAGATTAAAGATGGATGAAAAAATAAACTTGAATTTAAAGATATACTCGCTGTGCTGCAGATAAGTCTTCTGTTTGGCAACATTTTTTGCGGACATCAGATGGCCTTCATGCTCAATGCAAGATGTGTAAAAAAGTATTTAAAACCTCTGGAACAACTTCAAGCCTGCATAATAATCTTAGACTTGTTCATTCTATCCAGTTAGCTAAAAAAACATCTAACTATTCACTTCCGTCAACATCTCAAAAAGATATGTCATTAGATTCCGATGTCATAATGACGCCAGCAACAAAAAAGGCTAAAACAATAAATGACTTTTTTCATGTGAAGGAAGAAGATGACTTAGATACTATACTTGCGAAAATGACAGCAGTAGATGGTGTACCATTTAAAATATTCTGTTCTTCGGAATCAATGAGAAAGCTATTTGGAAAAGCTGCTTACAAAGATTTGCCTAAATCACCAAATACAATAAAGAAAAAGGTTCTGAATAAAAGTGAGCTACTGAAAAAAGAAGTAAAAAAGGAGCTTAATGATATTAAGACAGCAGGAAAACAATTGGCTATAAGCCTAGATGAATGGACAAGTGCACGTAATCGCAGATATGTGAACGTAAATGTTCATTCACCAGAGCTTTCTGAAGGTATTAGAAACTTGGGACTGACGAAAATAAGGGGCCGTGGAACATCAGAGAACTGTTATAATATATTGAACAAAAAATTGGTATATTACGGCTTGTCAATACAAAACGATATCTCGTGCATAATCTCTGACGGTGCAAGCGTAATGTGCGCACTAGGGAGAATGGTTCCCTCTTATCATCAATTATGCTTGGCCCATGGTATTCAGTGCGCTGTCCTGGACGTGCTATACAAAGCTGATAACACAGAAGGTAACACCGGCATCACTGTTAACAGACCTTGCGATAGCTCTGACTCTGAGGACGAAAGTGATATAGAGAACGAAGATAAAAATCGTTTTGTCACCGAAGCTTACCCCAGTGGGGTCATTCCCAAGCTGGTTTATAAAGAATTGATAACTAAAGTCCGGAAAATAGTAAAATTTCTCAAAGGTTCGCCTACTCGCATGGATATACTCAATTCTTACCTGGAGTCCAAATCTAAAGACACGACACTGATCCTCGATTGCAAGACTCGTTGGAGCAGCCTTGCTGATATGATAGCAAGATTTCTAGAATTCAAAGACGCAATTCAAAAGACATTAATTGATCTCAAAGAGAAGACTACCTTTTCAGATACTGAAATATTAATTTTGAAAGATATGTCTAGTTCTCTCAATTTCATAAAGGCCATAGTTGAAGAACTTTGCGAGCGAAAATCAAACTTACTAATCGCAGAAATTGCACTTCAATTCATGATGGAAAAATTGGCGATGAATCCAGACGTTATTAGTGGCCAGCTTAAAGAAGCTTTAAATAGAAGAATCTTGCAGAGGAGAACGCTACACTTGTAAGTACGTTACAGTACTTACATAATCCTACAAAATATTATGACGAAAGGAATACTCCTCATGCATTTTCAAAGGCATCCCATGCGGAAATAATAGCCTTAATTGTAAAAATCAATGAGACTTATTTTTGCAAAGATAAAGCTGCTACAACTGTCTTTGAAGCTGAAGATGGCCTGCCTTTAAGAGAAATACAAAGACAGCAGCGCCTTGAAGATGAGAGGGAACAGGAGACAGCCAAGACATTCAAGGAACAGTTAAAGACAAAAGTTAATGAATCCTTGCACAATACTGCTGAGGTATCAACAAAACATTTGTCCGAAAACGATGACTTGGAAACGTCTGTCAGGGTGGAAATGGCGCTATTAGATCGAAGTGGCCCTAAAAGCATTCATCTACAACGTGTTTACGATTTTTTACTTACCATCCCACCTACAAGCGTTGAAGCAGAACGTGTATTTTCGGCTAATAGATATTTTTGCAATCATTTGAGATGTTCATTCAATGACGATACGTTAGACGCCCTCAGTTTCCTGCGGTCATACTTTATGAACACAAGAAAGTAATTTTTTGTATTTTTAAGTAAGTGTGGATGATTAAAAAGGTTCCTAATTAAAATGTTTAAGTAATAATAATGTTTCTTTTCATAAACTTAAGCACTATTCGTAAAATTCGTATTATTCGAAGTATTCGGATATTTTTTTATTCGGTTATTCGGAAAATCCGAATACCTTTTTTGGACGAATAATGCATGCCCTGCTGCCAACGTAGTAAAGTGACGCGCCATTTAATTTCACCCAGTGGTCATTTCTACGGTCCTTCTGGAAGATTCAGACATGTGCATATTGACATCATAGGACCGCTTGCACATTCACATGGTTACACCTACTGTCTTACTGCGATAGACAGGTTCACGCGATGGCCGGAAGCATGGCCTATAACATCAATAACTGCTGAAGAAGTTGGAGAAACTTTTGTTGCAGGCTGGATATCGCGTTTTGGAGTACCCAATATTGTGACCACTGACCAAGGCAGACAGTTTGAATCTGCATTGTTCTTGCGTCTAATAAACCTCTGCGCAACGAAACGTATTCGAACTACTGGTTACCATCCATGTGCCAATGGCATGGTGGAAAGAATGCATCGACAATTAAAGGCTGCGCTAATGTGTCATTCTAATACCTGGACGAAAGCATTACCGCTCGTCCTTTTAGGAATGAGAAGCACTTTCAAGGAGGATTTAAAAACCTCTGCAGCAGAACTAGTTTACGTAGAACCGCTGCGTTTACCAGGTGAGCTAATCGCGCCTCAAAAATTTACAAAAAAATCCAGCAGACATAATGGACTTTGTAGCAGACTTAAAAAAGAAAATGGAAATATTACGCCCCATTTCTGCATCTCACCACACGCGGCTGTCTACATTCATTTTCAAGGATCTCGCATCGGCTACTCACGTTTTTCTTCGTGATGATACAGTAAGGCGCCCTCTACAACCACCGTATACAGGTCCTCACGCAATTCTTCAGAGGAGAGACAAAACGCTTACCTCAGATGTCAATGGTAGAAAGGTCACTGTAAGCATTGATCGTGTAAAGCCAGCTTACATTGAAAATAATGAAGTAGGCAAACAAACAAATACTCCTGTGACCCCAACAACCACTAATAATCCTCCTCCTATAGTCCAACCTACCCCTAATAACACAGTTACGCCATCTGATACTAAAGTAGTTAAGACAAGATCTGGCAGATGCGTTAGATTTAGAAATATTTTAGATATTTAGAAGTAATTTTTTTATTTTCTTTACCTTTTATTTTACTTTATTATTCTCCGTAAGGGAGTGGTGTGGCGAAACGCCAAGCCGCCAAAGCATAAAAAGAGTGTATTAGTCTTTGGACTTAGGGCATTTTGTCTATGCTTACCCACGCTAAGTACGCGGTTAAAAATATAGGATTTTACTTAATTCTAAGTTTTTAAGAAATCCTGTTACTACGCACTATCTTTTATACTTCTCACTTTGGTGGTAGCATTATCAGTAAATAGTTCATTACTATTAATGCCGTTTTAATGAATACCCCGGAACTACAACATGATACCAGCATAACACTATAAACAAAAGGAAGGAATGTACAACCGGTCGCACATCTGGGCCCGTAACCACAGAATAAATAATAGTACTACGTACGTAACACTGTAGAACAATGCTTTGGAGGGAAGCAAAGGTTTCGGTGTTTACTGCGAGGACTAAATTTTTTTATAGAAGAGGGGGCAAACGAGCATGCGGCTCACCTGATGTTAAGTGACTACCGCCGCCTATGATCAACCGCAACACCAGGGGAATTGCAGGTGCGTTGCCGGCCCTTTAGAAAGCAATAAGCTCTTTTCTTGAAGGTCCCCAGGTCGTATCGGTCCGGAAAAATCGCCGGTGGTAAACTATTCCACAGAGAGGTTGTACGCGGAAGTAAACTCTTTTTGAAACGTACTGTGGTGGACCGCCAAGCATACAGATGGTGTGGATGGTATCGGGACGTTTGCCGCGTAGTGCGTTCACGAAATTTGGCGACTGGGATTAATCCGAACAATTCCTCAGAGCACTATCCATGGTATATGCGAAAGAAAATGCAAAGAGATGCAACATCTCTTCGCAATGTCAGTGATACGAGCCGATCGGAAAGCACTCGGTCGTCGACGATTCGAGCCGCTCTGCGCTGGATGCGGTCAAGTGGAAGGAACTGGTACTGGGGAGCCCCAGCCCAGAGATGGGAACAGTATTCCATGTGCGGCCGAACCTGCGCCTTGTAAAGTTGCAGGCGGTGTGCCGGCATGAAATACTGTCCCGCTCTGCTGAGCACGCCAAGCTTTTTAGAGGCCAATTTGGCCTTCTCTTCCAAGTGACCACGAAACTGCACGTCACTCGATATGTCGACGCCGAGGATTCCGATACTGGCTGAGGCAACAAGGGGAGTGCCTTGAAACGGAGGAGATACGACAAAGGGGTTCTTTTAAGCGGTTAACGCCCAAACTTGTGTCTTCTGGGGGTTAAACTGGACTAGATTTAGTCGACCCCAATCCGAGACTCTGTTCAGCAAAGACTCGACTTCAGACACAAGTTTGTCCCGGCACTCAGAGATGTTTTCCCGAGAAATATTGGCTCGGCCGGTGTAAAGAGCATCACCAGCGCTGTCATCTGCATAGCAATGAATGTTACGGGTTTGCAACATATCATTGATATTCAGAAGAAACAGCGTTGGCGATAGCACGCAGCCTGTGGAATACCAGCGTTGATAGGCTTGCAATCGGAGCTTGCACCGTCTACAACGACCTTGATGCCCCGATCTGCAAGAAAGCTGGTGATCCAATCGCTCAATTTCTCGGGAAGCACATAGGAAGGGAGCTTCGAAAGAAGCGCTTTGTGCCAAACCCGATCGAAGGCCTTCGCAATGTCCAATCTAACTGCCAATGCCTCCCCCCTTGGACTCTACTGCCTCCGCCCATCTGTGAGTTAGGTAGACCAGACGATCACCAGCTGACCGACCACGGCGAAAACCGTATTGGCGGTCACTAATTAGCTGGTGATCCTCAAGGTACCTCATGAGCTGGCAGTTTACAATGGACTCCATTGTTTTGGAGAACAAGGAGGTGATTGCGGTAGGCCGGTAGATGGACGGGTCTGAGCGGTCGCCTTTTTTAGGGATCGGGTGGACGAAAGCCGTCTTCCATTATTTTGGTACTACGCCTAGGGAGTAGGAGTACCTGAAAAGACGCGTTAAAACCGGTCCCAACTCTGGAGCACACGTCCTCAGCAGAATTGGGGGGATTCCGTCAGGCCCACTCGACTTGTGGATGTCCAGGGAGAGGAGTGCTTTGCGAACCGAGCGCTGTGTGAACTGCACTTCCGGCATGGAGCACTCATACCGCGGGATGGTCGGCGGCGTACTCCCCCCGTCATGGAGGGTCGAGTTGGACGCAAAGAAAGAGCCTAGAAGATCGGCTTTCTCCTTTGCGGTATGGGCCAGTGAGTCGTCCTCCCTGTGCAGAGATGGAAGAGATGGCTGACAGAAATTCCCCTGGACAGCCTTGGCGAGAGACCAGAATGCACGGATTCCAGAAGGAAGACGAACTAGTTTCTCGCCAATTCTGCATATTTGCTCTGACTTTGCCTTGGCAATGACTCTTTTGAAGGACCTAGAGGCGGAATTATACTTCTTTTTTAGAGCGCTAGTGTTTACATCCCGGGACGCTGATGCGTCAGCCCAGGCTTGGTAGCACTTCTGCTTATAGCATGAAATAGCTATTTTACAGGAGCGACCAAACCATGGCTGAGATTTGCCTCCAATGGGCGCCACAGAGCAAGGAATAAAAAGTTCCATACCCTGAAGCACCACATCAGCGACAGAATCCGCAACAACGTTGGGATCGTCCGGCGAGAAACAAACCCGCCCCCAAGGGTGGGATGCAAAGAAAGACCGCATCCCATCCCAATCAGCTGATCTATAGTGCCAAACACGGCGGCAGCCTGCAGAATGCAACTGCGATTACAGCGTGAGTGGCACCATACTCCGAACAAGACAATGGTCCGAGGAGCCTAAAGGGGCGTCGACGGAAATCTGATATCCGTCGGGTGAGAGGTCAGCAGAAGGTCCAACATGGAAGGTGCATGATCCTCCACATCTGGAAACCGCGTAGGCGAAGTAACCAGTTGAGTCAGTCCATATGCCAAGGCAAAATCATGAACAAATCTCCCCGCATGATCGGTTAAACGTGAACCAAGCCATTCGGCGTGATGGGCATTAAAGTCGCCGAGGATCACGATCTCTGCGGAGGGGATCGGCTGTAGCAACAAATCTGTAGCCATTTGGACGTGGTCGTCGAGTCGGTCTGTTTCGGCATTACCGCTATGGGATCTATAGAGACACCCGTAGACGCGCGGGTGGTCGTCGCTGTCTACGCGTAGCCAAAGGATGGACAGGTCCGAACCTTCAAGTCTGCGGAGGCGTCGAGAACAGAT